TCAAAACATATCAAGCAGCGGCACGCACCAGGGTAACTGGTGCGAAACCCATTTTGTGCAATTCTGTCCGGCCGGCACTTCTACAACTCCGTTCAGCTGACACTCGCGCAATTCTGTTCAGAGGAAACTCGCCGTTAAAAGTGTTTGCTGCATCACTGTTTAATACATGCTAATTCTAACATCAAAACTTCTACTTGTCCGTACATGAGAATTAGGCGTGCGTTGGAATGAATTTATGTGCGGGCAGAGAGTATTATCCTAAAATTTCAGCTTCCTAGCTTTTTTGATTTCGGAGTTATTAATTTTGTACCAAAACTTCCGCATATTCATAGCGGGGATTCAGGCGTGCACAAGACTGAATTCATACCGCGCAGGAGCATTATTCTAAAACTTCAGCTTCCTGGCTTTCATAGTTCTCGAGTTAATAATTTTGGCGTAAAAAATTTCGCGTGTCCCCACGTGAGATCTGGGCATGCGCGGGGGAATGGACTGAACTTGAGTTTGCGGAGTAATATGCGGGCAGGAGACATTCTCCTAATGTTTCAGCTTCCTAACTCTTCTGCTTTCAGAGTTATTAGTTTAGGCGCTAAAACTCTTACGTGACCGTACGCGAAACACAGGGGCGTGAATGCTGAATTCGAGTTCGCGAGATCACCCGTGGGTAGAAGGTCCCCTTTAAAATTGTTTCCTAGCTTCTCTGGCTCCCGACTTGAAACTCCGAGATAAAATTTACTCGGAGCACACACGCACGCACACTTACAAACACACAAACAAACACACACACATACAAACACACACAGGGTCTCGATAATATGAGTTCTGTACAACTGCTGCAGTACAAAACGGATAGAAAACCAAATTCCCACAGGACTGATTCTCAGTCCTGAGTTATGACAGATCCTTAAAGGAAAAAAGTTTTTTTTTTCATCTTTCCGCATTTTGAGGAAGTAGCGCATGTTCGTCTGGAAATTTTTGAGACAATGGCATAACAAACAGCTTAGTGTACGAGGAAACCGATGGGAGAATGCGTTTTTGCGCAATTCTGCTCAGCAAATTTTGCTACTAAAAACGTTTACTGCTTCACAGTTTGATTTGTGTATTGTTCTTGAAATGTTCTAATCCGTTTTATATATATATATTTTTTTTTTGTTAAAACAATTACGCGCAATGAAATTTCACGAGATCGTGTGTGCCACAGTTGTATGTGGAATTTAAATTCACTTTTCTAGGCCCTCAGCCAGTCAAGAAAGCCACGTTACTTCGTCGTTGTGTTGAAAATTATAAAATTTCAAATTTCTTGTTCCCGTGTACATGATAAGAGTTTGTTAGGATATACCTGCATATCTCTAATCTTCTTATGCCACGAACCACAGAATCAATGAAAAGAAGCACAGAAATGAGACAGCTGTTTGGAAAACAAAGGGTAGTTCTAAAACTATTAATGAAATCGACATAAATTATTACTGACCGCCATAGGTGATTTCATCCATCAGACTGTCCTAAATCTGAGTATCATTAACTGACATAAAACAAGCCAACTGGATCCAGTATTAGCACAGAGATAAAACTCGTGACTTTTGGCGCAAATAAAATTCTTGCAAAAGATGAGCAAAAACCTTATTGTCATTGCCAGTTCGT